ATCTTAAGTCCAACATGGTGCTCACATATGCATACTGACAATCCATAGAAATAGTGCTTCTATACAAGAAAAAGGAAACTCTTTGTTTCAATAAAGAAAGAAATGCTCGATGCCATAAGGAAACTAGATTGTCTACATTAGAATTAAAGTATTAAATTATGTATTATATTACCTACTATTGGAATTTAACTACTGACTACATTTGAGTATTGTCCAGTGGAGCCGAACCAACATGCTGCCAAGCATTCTTATCTTCAAGATAATCTGTCAGTGTGTAGTAAGCTTGATTACATAATTCGCGCTTAATATATGTTTTAAATTTACTTTCATTGAGATCTAGTATGCTATTTGGTATTTTATTATAGCATTTAATACCTAACCCCATAAAGGATTTCTGTACTTTGGACAGTCTGAATTGCGGTATAGCTAACTTATTTTTGCCTCTAGTATTAAAATTGTGTCTATCGCTTCTTTTTTCAAACAATTGCCTATTTTTCCTTACATACATTATATTTTCATATATATATTGACAGGGCACCGTTAAAATATTTATCGTTTTAAACAATTCTCTCAACGATTCGCAACGGCGTAAGTTATATATTGCTCGGATAGCCCGCTTTTGCAGAATAAATATTGATTCTATTTCTGCAGCTCGACCCCACAACAAAATGCCGTACGACATAATGCTGTGGAAATAACTAAAATAGACAAGCCTAGCTGTATCCACGTCCGTGAGCTGTCTAATCTGTCTAACTGCAAAAGCAGCTGAGCTCAATCTCCCCGAAAGCGCCTTTATATGCGGACCCCATTGTAGCCTATTGTCTAACGTAATGCCTAAAAATACTGTCTCGTCGACAAATTCTAACTTTTGACCGTTCAAAACAATATCACAATCGTTACTACGCACGTTTGGTAAACTGAATTTAATACATTTTGTTTTTTTTTCATTAAGTGCTAGATTATTAATGGTAAACCAATTATGCACTTGAAGAATGGAGCTGTTTACGTCGTCAAGATTATTTGTACGTCGATCTACTTTAAAAATTAATGATGTATCATCTGCAAAAAGCACCATTCTTGGTTCATTTTTAAATATAAATGGCAAATCATTTATATAGACTAAAAAGAGAAAGGGACCCAATATTGAACCTTGAGGAACGCCCATATTCATCCCAGAGCCCTGTGAGTTAATACCGTTAACATGAACCTTTAACTGTCTTTCTTCTAAATAAGATTTCATAAGACGGAGCGCAGAGTTTCTTATCCCGTAATGATCTAATTTCAGCAAAAGTGTTTCGTGGTCAACGCAATCAAATGCTTTTGAGAGGTCACAAAATACACCAATAGCATCCTGTGCTTCCTCCCAAGCACCAAATATTTCCTTAATCAAAGTGACACCGGCGTCAGTTGTGCAACGACCTTTAGTGAAACCGTATTGTTGTTGGTGAAAGATGGAATGTTTATTAAAATGATGAAGCATCCGAGACAGCATCAACTTTTCAAAGACTTTGCTGAGAACCGGTAAAACAGACACTGGCCTATAGTTGTTAGGTTCTTTAGTGTCACCACTTTTAAATAGTGGGATAACCTTACTATATTTCATTAGGTCAGGGAAAACACCGTCATCTATACATTTATTGAAAATCACAGCCAGATATGGCGCTACAGTTTGGATAAGTGACTTGCAAACCATTACCGATAAGCCCCAAAGATCCTCCGTTGATTTAGTCTTGATTTCTTTAAAAACTTTTATAATTTCTAGAGGATTCGTATATCGAAAACTAAAGTCGTATTGACATGATTCTATGTTGTTCTTAAGCAAAGTTACAGAGAGGTTTGCTGATGACTTTAAATGTTCAGTTGTTTTAATAGGAATACTAGTAAAAAAATTTTCAAACTCCTGGGCTACATCTACGTTTGATGAAATCTGTCCCCTTTCGGTATTTAAATTAAATTCTGAGTTTCTTAATCTTTTCCTACCAGTCTCATTGTGTATAACTTTCCAAGTAGTTTTTATCTTATCATCAGACGATTTTATTTTATTACTAATATAAAGACGTTTCGCGACTCTGCATACTATTCTAAAGGTTTTTGAATAAGATGTTACATACTGGTGAAATTGGGGGTCATTTTTGTACGGTTTCATTCCATAAAGTTCAAAGTGAAATTTGTCACAACAAGTAATTAAAATTATGAAAAAGAAGC